GCGCCCCCTGGCGGCCGGAGGGCGCGCAGCCCCGGGCTCCCCCCTGCTCCGACCCCAGGACCTGAGCCACCGGGAAACCGGCCTTTCCCGTCAGTATCCCTAATTAATCACGCGATAATTCACAATTATTAAATCAACTTCAAAGTTCCAAGCGGGAATACCCCAAAGTTTGATCGGCCTCAAATCGTGACATCGAGTTAAATCCACGCAGGCAACCAACCCCCCCCCCGCCCCGTGTTCCTTACCATCGCTATTTACACTTTAATTCTTTTAATCCTTTCCCCTCAGCATTCCTGGAGCCCGGCACACCCACCTTCCACACGGCATTAAATAAGGAGTAAAAAATTCCCCTAACGCTGGAATTTGGAACAAAATCTAAAGATTTGGGAAAAGCCTGTGGCAGCGAGCTGAAGGGAATGCAGAGGAAAACAAGGAATTACCACACGTTAACAGATCCACTGCATCACAATAATGAAAGATATGTTCTGATCCCAAATTTATTATTATTTTCTTTATAATCCAATTTAAAAAATGCCCAGGAAAGAGCAAATTAGCCAAGCTGGCATCACTGCAATTAACAACTCCCATTACCAGCACAGCCACTAACCAGATCAATACTGGTTTCTCTGGTTATATCACATGCTCCTTAAAGCATTACCAGACTCAAGCTAGTAAGTCCCTGTATTTGCAGACTAAAAATGTATTTATATCTATTTTTTTTTAAATCTTCACCATTCTCTTTCCATTTCCTGACATGTTCTATCCAAAACCAAGAAAAATCAACTTAATTCCCTTCTCTTATCTTAATACAACCCCCTTTTTCCAGGGCTTCATGACCATTGGGCTTGTGAAGGTAAGATACTATTTTTAGAGTCATTACGTTACAGCAAAGGGTGTCCTTACTCTATTATTTCAAGTTTGAAGCCAAAGGGAATTCTTCTATCAAGAACAATAGTAATATTTGTTTCCTCTAAAGCACTTTTTCCAGTGGGTCTCCCAGCACTTGAGGAAGGTGATGGTTATCTTTATACCCCCAGACACTGGAACGTCAAGAGATGCAAGATCCCAGCAACTAAGTTAAGTGTTTAAATTATAATATCAGCAAAGCCTACGGTTTGGCTTCCTTTAACAGTCCTGGAGGCCTGGTAGGATAAATAGTGGGAAACCTGTTTGCACGGTCCCATTTTCCTGCTGTTTAGTAACGAGGAAAAATGAAGGGTTGTCTGATGCAAATAGTTTACCATCAAAAAAATATACACACTCAGAGAAAAGATCCAGCAAAAACCACAGGCCATGCAATCCCATGACAGTAACGAGCATGCAATTTGTGAGCTGAACAGCTGGGAATTAATTTTCAACTTGCTGAATTTAAGTTTTGGTGGGACTGCTTGAGAATCTAAACGAAGCCCTCTAACCTTGTAGTTCTAAGGTGAGATGCAGCATCAAATCCAGACAATTAACCCGGCTCCCTCGTTAGCGATACGAGCGAGAAAAGGACAGCACTGACCGCTTCCACACTAGAGAATACACAGCAATCTCTCAATGACGACTGTTATTATCCTCTAATAACAGCTCTAAAACCAACCTCCTCCAAACCATCACCCACAGACTGTTGTGTGTCGCAGCGTCAGGTTGGCACAGCTCGGTTAAAAAAGGTATGAATTTTGGAAAGGCTCATTAGGTTAATAACTCCCACATGCTTTTTGATGCTTTACGTTTTAACTGAAACACTTAGCATTCCTTAATCTGAGCATTTTCTGCTCAAAAGGTTTAAATTAATTTCAAAATTTGTTACTTTCAAGAGTAATATCCTAACGTGATATCCTAAGCAGTTCCAGCACAGATTGTCCAAAATTCAATTCACTGTACAAATCCAAGCACTGCAATGTGTCTTGTACAGACCGAGATAAGCTTTTGCATGTCTGACCTTATTATAATATTTATTTTTCATCACAGACACTGCATTTTGCTGTGATATTGTGCTTTTGCACCTGGATGTAGCCTCATCTCCCCCAGCGTAACCACAGTGTACAGTCTGTGGCACCTGCACTCGCGTGCATTTTTCACACCGCATGCCGTATGTCACACCGCATTCCTATGTAAGAGGGAGCTTCCTGAGTTATTATAAACCTGTTTGGCAAAACATTCTTCCATAAACAAATTAATTTCACCTTAATCAAGGACAGTTTCACAGCCAAGCTTATTCAGAAGACTTTTTGAAACTGAGTTGTCACTGCAATTTAGCTTCTTCAAGAATCACAAAGTCCTGTACCGTGTGCAGAATTAACACTATTCAACTCACATAATGAGTTTAAGCTGTTTAAACGAAATACCCCAACTCTCATATACGCATCCTGGGGAAAGCATATGCAAAGCAGCCTGCAAATATCCTCAGTCTTTCAATAAAGATGAAGAGAAGATGGAAGAGAAAAATATTTGCTTGTGCTCGCTTAAAAATTCCATCCTCTTACTATTTAGAGCCGAGAACAGGGAAGTTAAAGCTCTGTGCAGTTTTGAGGTTCGTTTACACCAAGCAAATTTGGGCTTTGCTTATCTTAGCAGTGAAGCTTGGAAATCAGCCTGTTTAACTTACAAATTAGAAACCCACAAGAAGCCAAAGAAAACCTTGGGAAAAAAAATAAATAGCTGTGACAACATTTTAAATGCTTCAAGGTAAAGCAGAACAAAATGACATACAAGCCACTCACTCATTCTCTTTTGGGGGTAAATAAAGACTGTGCTGTTTATTTACCACCAAATGGAATTCCCCTAAATTTATGAATCATGATAAAGATCAGGAAAGAACTATGTGTACATACCTGGGCTGGTAAATTTACAGCAGTTTTGAAATGGCAGTATATACACCATAACACATTATATGAAGAGAACATTTAAGATGACAAAACCTGACACTGCAACAAATTCTTGACAGATTTTGAAACCAATAAAACAGACCCTGAAAGGCTGCTCTAACAGACTTCTGAAAGGGCTGCTTGGCAGCGTGATCTTTTTGGCAAGACCTACTTGGGTAAAACTCATCAGGTGGCAAGAGAAGACAGTCAGAGGAACAAAAGGATATTTCAGGTGTCGAGGCAAGGGATTTGTTATTCTGTCAGTAGTGCTCAGCCTCTTTTAGTGGCACAAGTATTTTCCAAAGTGCAATATGACCCATCAGAAAACACATTTGAAATAGGTGAGTGCTTGTATTTATGAGGACTAAAATCTTTGCAAAAAAGATTCAATGAGAGAGACATTTAAAATGTCAGAGTGCCTCCAAAAGCACACTTAAATTAATGAGCTAGTGTGGACTACGGGCAAAGGCAGCGGCAACCCAAGATAAAGTGTCCAGAGAAAACTAAGCTGGCTACAGATTCGGGTTGGGAGCCTGCCCTCAGGGAATAAACACCGAAGAGAAGTCAATAGTCTGACTGGCAGCAGCAAACCCCTACTTGAAATGCTACCTCAAAGCTGTTAGAAAGTTCAGAAAAAGCTTAGAAGGTTGTGGGTTTTTTTCCCAATCTAGTTTGAGTGACCTAAAATGTAACATCTCTACATATTGCTATACTGCCCTATAAACTTTAAAAACTGCATGGTATCAACTCATTTTTTCATTAAATGAAGATGAGTTACTTATAGATGTTGTCAGCCTTACAAGGAAATGCAAGAAACGGCAACAGCATGTCACAGCAAGGCTGCATGTACCCAAAAACCACAAAGCATTTTAAATAAAACCAAAGTCAAGCTATATATACCCACTGCTGGTAGGTCCTTGACAGAGATTCAAATAATACTTTATAGCCACAATATTCTAACACTAACATACTCTACCATTACTTTGAGTTAAACTGGTTTTATTTCTTGGTTTGAGAAATACAATACAACAGGAACGACACCCTTTTTCCTGTCCCCGACTCCCTGAGTGAAATTGGAATGGTACAAAACCAGAAAAGTTTGTTTCATGAAGCTACCCATATAAGTGTCTTGACAACCAATCTTGGTCATACAATGCAAAGACCATAAAAATAACTGATTTCTGCAAAAATTCCTCAGCAGAAAGTTTCTCAGTATCTACAGAAACAGGAAAACATTTATTTTAGGTAATTTGCTATAGTTTTTCATTCTACTTTGTATCAAATTTGGAGCTATAGCAAATCATTAACCAACAAAACGGACTCAGTGTTGGTACATATCCTCTATTTTAACAGTAGATCTTAATGTCAACTGTATCGGCACAGAAGAATTTAGACCAATGAAATGTAGCATTTGCAATATTTTAATTACATTTCACAAAATGTATCAAATATCTGTTTAATACAAATAGTAAAAAAATTGGATTTGAATAAAGGGGAGTAAAAAGTATTAGTAATAAAAGGTAACAGAGTGGTAACTGATTCTTCAGACTTTGATACCTTTAAACTTTTGTAGTATATGGTCCTGTTGATCTCCAGAGGAAATAGATTTTGCTCCTTTCCTGAACGTGCCCAGTTTATATATCGCAGCCAGTTCCCTTTCTTTGGATCCGTTGCATCAACACACATCCATCCCAGGTTTGGGTAATACACCTAGGAGAGAAAAGTGGCATTAAGCACATGGACAACTGCTAACACTGACATGTACGTGCACTAAATCCTGCACATTTTTTAGCTACACAAAGTAGTAGCTATAACCTAAGGAGAGAGGTAACACCGAGGGTAGGAGCAGATGTAGGGGTTGTACTGGGCAGGGAGTGTTGCTGGTCTTCTGCAATCTTTTTAGTGGAACCAGTACATTTGGGAAAAAAAAAAAATGCCTTTTGGCCTGCAAGGCCTTCTCTGAAGGTTTTGGGCTTGAAAGCCAAAACACTTAAAACAATTTGTTTCAGTTTGGCCAGCCTGAAATGATTCTCTAGATTTTGCATTTAGTAAACTGGCTGATTTTAAGACATAAAGGCAAGAGAGCTTTAATTTTACTATCTGATGAAATGGGAAAAATAACCCTATAGAAGTTAGAAGCATTTGCTTTATTTGGAAAGATAAGGGAAAGAATAATTTATATTTAATATTTTTTTATGGTATTAAAGAAAATCTTAGCCTTTCAGAAATCTTGTGGTCACCTTAAAAAACTGACCATGTCAATAAACTTCAGACCCTGTGTAAATTCTTCAGCTTGCATTCTTGGAGACAAATTTTTAACACCTACTCCTGTTTTGCATTTCAAGGGAGCCTGCAATAAAGCGAGGTTACTGACATCTTCAGTATTTGCTGATGAGAGGCAACTCTGCTTCTCTTTTGAGACATTATGCATCTCCCACTCTTCTTACTATAATCCAAGTCAGAAGCCTATAAGAAGAGCCTACCAGTGGAGGCTATACATTTTTTTTCCCCAGACTGAAGAACACGCTACTGTTCAGCACAGTTCTGCCAGTCATTCTGAATGAGCAGACAGCTTTTCCCTCAGTTTTCAGTCACTTGCCATCATTTTCCTTTCTGTGGCTTTTCTCCGACAGAAAATGAAAATACGTTCAAGTTTCTGTTTCTCTCCACAGACATGGGAAGTACACGTGGACACCCAAAACATCTTTTTCAGAATGATACTCTAAGCATGACAGTTCAAAGTTATTAAAATTGACTGGAGATGCCAGCTTTTAGAAGCCTTACTTTTCCCTCAGATTAACTTCACTAAAAAAACAAGTGGGATTTTTGAGGAAAAGGTTGCTTTCTTCGTTGAAGGTCCATATACCTAACTACTCCCACACACCACCATTCCTTTATAAACAATATTTTCTAACTGAAGATTCTGCAGTGGTTTCAGATACCAGCACAGGGGGCCAACTGTTGCGGTCTTATTTTACCTGCTTTTTTCTAATTCCAAAATCAGTATTAAAGCAACACACAATTACTCTGAGATCTAGCAAGGGTTCTCATTATCACTTGCATTGCAACTATGAAGCTTTGTAACAGCTTGTTTGCAATTATCATTTATCAACACAAATTTTAAAAATATTAAGGCATATCCACTGAGAACATTCAAAATCCAGCACTGAGAAAAACAATTGCAAGGTCAATAATTTACTTGACTGATTCCATCTCACTAAGTGTTCTTGTACCAGATAAGAACTGGAGAGACCTTACGCAGTGGAGTTTGTGATAATACTCAAATGCTTAATGCAACAAACATTATGCTTGAACACTTTATTACTTTCCTGAATGTGAATTTGCATTCATGGGAAATTGTTCTAGATCAGTTCCTCTGATAGGAGTTAACATTAAGTTTTTCATGTGTATCCAGTGTTTCATGCAGTTCAATTTTTGCAGACTGGGGCCAGAAGGATGACTATCAATATCTTTAGCCTAAAAATCTGTAAACTAGCAAATTCTGTTCCAGAACATGCTGTGCCACAGTTCCTCCACCCCTCCCCTCCTTACCATTCCCTTTGTTAAAGCCATTTGCTGTATGTGTCTTCAGAAAGGCTGAAGCAGCCTTTGGAAGTAGCTATGAACTGCCTTAAAGACACTGTAGATAGGATTCAACTCCAGATTAAGACACGTACATTTTGAAATCTACATAATATCCAAGGTCTTATGACTCTCTGTGGAGCTTAAAGAGCTATTCAGCTGCCCAGACAGTATTTGCTTTAAGGCAAGCCCAAACACAAGCAGCACAAGAAATACTGCAACAGTTGAGAACTTTTATGTAAAAGCTCCAAAAGCCATATCAATTCCCATAACAAAGCTCGTTTTCAAAGAACTAAATGAGGAGGAGCACTGTGGCTTCCTTAAGAGACTCCACATCCTCCTAATTTCCCTAATTTCATAAGCAGTTGGCAGTACTCAGTTGCAGAAGGACAGCACTCCAGAGTCAAGCCAACAAAGCAAAGTTTTATCAGCAGCAGACTCTGAAGGGGAGGTGTGACCCAGAGACAGTACAGAAGAAAATTTTTACTGCAATTTCAAACAATACCAGTAGTTTAAAGCTTTGTTATTCAGAACGGTCACTCAATCCAAGTGTCTAAATAACTGTTTGTAATAAATAACTGTTTGCAATGGTAGACATAGATAGATGGCAATTATTTCACATCATGTCTATTTCTAAGATCTCTGGAAAAAATATTTTAGATAAAGGCTAAGTACAAAATATTGGCCTAGTAACGGATACATTTTTCCATTTCCAAGCTGTTTCTTACCTCCCACATGTATACATTGCTCTTAACTTGAGATCTTTTTTTCTTGTCACCAACAAACGGTCCAAACTTCTTGCCTTTTAAAATTGATTTCGTTGCCCAGACACCTGAAGAGAAACACATCACTAGTTAAAACTAATCTAACTTCTCTACTCATAATTCATATTTCTTAAGATCATTACACGTGTCTGTCTCAGACTGGGGAGCATTCTACAATATTAAGATAACAATAATGAAACTGAAGTTTACTAAAATGAATTCAAACAACCCTCTCCCCAAAACTCACTTCAATCATGAAAGCTTTAAGCATTTACCTGGTTGCATTCTTTGCTCATGGGCTACTGTAGCTCTGAAGACAAAAAACAACCTCAATTTTTCTTGTCCTTCAGGTAATACTCAAAATACCATAAGAGTGTTACAATATAAAACCTGTAAAGTCCCAGATTTCAGCTGTTTTGCTGAGTAAACATGTTATTAAAACAAAAATCCTATTTGCTTCCTGTGAAACAATGCCAGGCAAATGAAGCCCTCACAAAAGTTGTGAAACTAATTAATAGTATGTTTTGAAGGAAAAAACATTTCAGATCAGTTAAAATATGTGCATCTGCTCACAAATTTATTGACAACCAACAGCTGCACTTCACATTTTATAGCATGAAAACTAACAACAGATTGACAAATAATTGGTAATTAAACATAACATTCTCATTCAGACCATGCGAGAACAGGTTCATACTAGAAAAGATTAACCTTGATCCAAGGAGCTTATAACCTGTTACTAACAGTCATGGTTCTATTGGCAGGCTTATTCCTCAGCTTCCACCATCAAGTATCCTGTCTGCAGTTGTGACTTCCAGCAAAGCTCTCTCATGTTAAACTCAGTTAAAAAAGAAGCCAAGCATTTTGCATATATTACAGAAATAATGCTTTGCTCCATATAGCAGCTTTCACATCTGCACTGAATCTGTTCGTCTAAATTAAACTTCCATATTGATTGGACAGTGAGATGCAGCACTCTAAAGAGGCAACAGTAAGATGTGCAAAACACAAAACTGGTAAAATGCTGTAAGTGAAAACAGACCACTGAAGTGACATATCAGTATTTTCATAACCTAATCCATTTGCATCTTGGTCCACCTTCGTCCCCAGTTCTGATGTTCTAGGAACATCATCTTGGGATGCTGGAGAAACTTAAAAGTTGTCTACTCTTTCCAACAGAAATTCCTTCTGATAAATGCAAATCATCTCCACTCAGCATAGTAGGAGAGCACCAAACTTTCATAGCAACTGTAATTGGTGTGAGCTGGTATAAAAATCTTCATTCTCTTTCCACAGTTGTAGCACTCACCAAGCCGTGTCTTGTCAACAGCAGATGGGAAGAGCCTCACGTCCTCAGGAAGCCCCCTAAGCACGTGCTCAGGTACATCATCTAAGGTCTCCACAGTGACAGCAGATTCAGTTGTGTTCTACAAGTCAAAAAGCCACAAGGGCCATGACCATCAACAGGTGAAAACAACAGCACAACAGATGATCAACCCTTATGAGCTACAATTCCTGACTTGAAATTAAAGTAAAATTTCCGAATTGCCATTTTAGGTAGGGGCCTCTCCCAACTACATGCTAGTGGAGAAGTAACGTTTTATCAGAACATTCAAGTTTTCAATATTATTTTCATTACACTTGCTGCTTGAATGCAGAGTTCTGAGACATTAGAGATATACATGAAACACTGATAACTAAAGTTGCTTCTTTTGCTTTAGTTAATGGATGTGTTTTGATTACGAGCAATATACAGTGAGTAAATCTGACTGAAAAGTTTTTCATGTATCTCTTAGGCCATTTGCCATTTCATTCATTTTCCCTGGCCTCTCCTCAAAAACGAATTCAAAATTCTCCCTTCAGTTACTTGAGAGAATAGAGCTAAATGTATTTTCTTTTTCCCGTCTGAATGTGACTTACCTGACAACACTACTATATTATACTTAAAGATGTATGAACAGAAAAGTGCTGTGGTTTTATACCACGGGAAATATCTATATTTTTCAAAATATATCATGAGTCCAGGCTTAATGTTAAGTCTTTGAAACTGCTCGTTAATATCGTAATATAAAATTCATCCATGGTACAGTTTTCAGCTTTTACTGATCAGTTACGCCATGAGAAACTACATCTAACAAGTAATTAGGTCAGTAACAGTGCTGTTACAGGCAGCACTATGTTGAGATAACATTCCTCTGTGCCATTTCTGATTAAAGTTCTTTCAAATTTCAGATTAAAAAAAAAAAAACCATGGTAAAGTTGATGAGGCTTTCTCCAAACAAGTATAAACAATATGTTTGACTCTATTTTTAAACTAGACAATTCAAATTTAAAAACAAAAACAGTAACATGAAATCATACTAGATCTTTAGTAACCTGCCTTGAAAGTCTAGCTCAATTTAAAGAGGCAGATTAATTTTCCTTTTAAATTACAGACGGCTACAACAGACCTAATCTAACATTCAGACCAAATCTTTTCTGAAAATAAACCACATATTTTCATTATTTTATGTTTCAGCTGTACACCGATCTTAAACACGACCTCTTCTGCTAGAAAATGTTTCTGACTGCTTCTGAAAGACTACTATATTGAAGAGAAACACACGATGCTTTTAGTGGAAATTGTTTAGATTAGTAGAAATCTTTGTTAGCTGCATATGTTTTGAATACCAGACAGTCAGAAAATGAAAGCAGTGTTAGAAGAGTTAGATGTGTTTCAGGACATACACATCATTTGTCCAAATTATACTGTTGAAATATGTTATTGGTAATTAAAGTAACAAGAGGCGAGTGAACTGCCTCGCTAAAACAAACTGATTAAAACAGTATCAGCCAGAACAAAGGAAGAATAAGAGCTTTTTCCATTTTATTTCATAACCATCCTATTGGATTTTTTTAAATCTTATGTTACCTACAGAGAATGAAACAGTAAAAGCCCCAAAAACAGAGACATTAATGCAAACTGATTCTGCACCAAAGCATCAGCAACTGTGTTCCATTACCTTTCTTAACACCTAAACATTAATCTTCTGCAAATTCTGTTTCAAAAGGTAGAACAAATGTGGATCAAATAAACCCGTGCTTAAGCCAGCAAAGCAGTGTCTGCATTATGACCCTCAGCAAGTAAATTTTGGTAAATATTTATAAAATCATATAGACTTGATTGGACCAGCTTGAGATACGTGGCATGTGGCTTATCTTTATCAGAATTTACAGCACTAGCAAAAAGGGTGACTCGAAAAACATTTATGTTTTAATCAACCATCCGTTTCATTTTCTCTTTGACTTAAATATCTGTCCTTAAAAAATTAAATAATGCCATAAAAGCTATTATTTCAGTATCCTAAAAGTTAATCATAATTCCTAAATAAATTGACAGGTCAGAATCCTTAGCCAGCAGGTTAGAATACAAAAGGTTTTAAGGTCATTTTATATTAAAGTTTGAAAGGAAATAGAATCCTAATAAATGATTTATGAATGTCTAGTAATTGATTACTTCAATTCTAAGGAGCTTACAACGTTCAGTAGGCTGCTTAAAATATTATTCATACTATTATTTCTACAACAAGACAGTAAACGCTGCTCACACTTGCCATTGAATAGCTAGCTCTTCATGACAATCAATAAAACATTATTCCTGACAAAAATGACCAGAATTTCAAAGATACAAGCATGTACAGTCTCCCATAAAATCTGTCTGCATTCTGAAAGAACTGTGCTTGGTGAGAACTAGGCATATGTTGAACCACTTGCAACAGCCCTAAAAATGTGTGTTCAATGCCCTCTGACACTGAACTTTGATCATTCTGGTCAGAAACAAATACCGGTGGTGATGGCAGTAATTAGTCTAATATGAAAGATGTTATACTTAAGCTCTGAACAAGCTTTAGGAAGTGTTAAACTGAGAAATATCACCTTGGGCAACACTACAAGCTGTCCAAGTAAACCCTGGCTTTCTGGAAATGATTCTTGCTTTTACACATAAGCATAAAGCAGAGATACGACAGTAGTTTTCATAGATTGAGTAATAGTCAGAGCACTTATAAAACACGTTGTGCCGAAAGTTTACTGGAAATAGATTTTAAAATACATTTCTATCTGCTATCACATTTAAGGTTTTTATCTCTAAAGCAAACCAAGTAAAGCTTCTCAGCCTTTTCTACGTAGCACCCACTCTTTGTGAGGGTGCTGCATATGGCAATTATTCTCTACATTTATGAATGTGACTCTGCTGAGTTAAGTGACAAGAATATCTCTTCTGCCAGCTTTAACAGCAACAAGGAGAAAAATGGTAAAACTGGAGTCATAGCAAGGTTATTCTATTGCCGCCTTGGTAAGCCCTAACAGCTGCACAGACACTTCCTAGAGAGCTATTTGTAGGGGAGAAAGACCCCCAAATTGGAAACCATGGAAGGAATAGAATGCCAGAAATCCCTTCCCATCCAAGAGAGTGAAGAGATGGGGCCGGGGGCAGGGGAGAATCTTATTCTTCAGTTATAATAGCTGAAGTCTATTCAAAGCAGAGCACATCAAACAACGAAACCTAAGTATCCTTCCAGTACATTACCCCACAACTTCATTAGGGGAGAACCAAGCCTATTTTTCCCAGCAGCTTCTAATCACTAAATTATATACAGGCATAGATGAGGGGGACTACAAAAAACCGACACGGCAGCTATCAGAATGATGCACTTCAAATTTCAAGCTAACAAAAGCAAGGTGTTTTTTTTGTTTGGGTTTCAGTTTGGGGTTTGGTTTGGTTAGGGGTTATCGGTATTGGGGCGGTTGTTTTGGGTTCTTTTTACAGCCATAACTAGATGGGCAGTTAAAAATCTCAAGCCTACAAATACATTTTAACCCACTGAAATTTTAACACACTCAACTGATTTAGACAGAATCACATCTGATGTGCCTGGCATATCCCCTTATAGTCACACCTCCTATTAGCCATAAATGTCCCAAAACTGGTCTATCATTTAAGAAGTTTATTTGGAGTAATCCACAATCAGAACTTTATTTTGCATCTACCTACATAAATCAAAGACTAGCAGCTAGAGTCAGAGAAAACAGCACTCAGACTCATTCAACACCTGCCATATTAAAGCATTTCACAAATACCAGAAAATTGCATATGGCCTAGTACATAACAATATATTTCACACCTCAAACGAATGGTAATAAGTAACCAAATACTAAACAGTAAAATAAACAACAATTTAGTTCAGTCAAATCAGTGCAATCTCATTTTATCTGCAATTTAAATGTAGCTACTGAAAATATTTTTAAGATCACAACTTGTGCCCAAGGAATGTCTGTCTACCAAAAGAAGAAATGTTTTATTTCAATAACTTTTCCACCAAAACTTAGAAACTGCACTTAAATTTATTTTTCTGCTTAAAAAAATTCACCTCTTGGTAAGGATAGTGAACTGGTGCATGTCCTATGGCCAATTTTTGCATTTAATTGAAGTCCTAATACAGTGCTTTTCACTCACTCCAAACTGCATTTTTGAACACAAAAGCACTTGAAGCTTATTTCACTTTTAAGCTTCTTACTCTGAAGTTCATCAGAAATATTACACTCCCAGCATTCAAATTAGCCAAGGTGAAGTAACTTAAGAACGTTACCAAGAAATCATTTGAGAGCTGAAGGGGTACCTTAACTGAAATTATCTTTTCCTGTTTCCATCAAATTCGGAGTCCAATCACTTTGACAGTACCTTTCAACATACTTTTAAGTAATTTTTCACACCACTTTCAATGTAATTGGACCTATGGACCAACCAAAAATCAGACTACAATGTTACGAGCAGTATTTAAGCAGAGTAGAACCAGAACCTGCAACTAGATGTTTACAGATGATCAGATTGGAGCAAAACGGAAAAAAATCGTCCTGAACAATGTGATGAATGACAAACATTCAGTTAATGTCATGTTTTGGTGGAAACAGGATTAGGATAAATGAAAAGATAAAGGAAAGGATGCTACTGAAGAGAGAGGGCCAGGGCAGAGAAGTTAGAAGAGGTAGTTGTGAAAAGGATATGAAGTGACTAAGGAAGGCTGCTGACTCTAACAGCCAGGTAGCACAAGTAAGTTGGAAGCAGAAAGGTCTCTGCATGTCCGGGAACCTTATGTGTGCTTGAAAATTAAAGATGTATCAGAAATATTTGAAATAACCATTGAAAAATTCAAGGGAATGAGGGGTGGTAATTTCAGTACAAGTGCAAGTGTCATTTCTTAACACACGCTTCACCATTTTTTGAATAACTGCCCGTGCAGTTTTCCAGGTAGCCCCAACCTTCTTCCTACTCTGTCTTAATGCAGATTGCGATGCAGTAAATGCTATCAATCAAAACCCCCTGTCTGCTTGGGTTCAGCATAATTATTCAGCATATTCTGATGTAGTTACATATTAAAAGAAGATTTCTTTTTAAAACAGATAGAGAATGCATTCTGTCTATCCTGAGACAGCAATCTTCTAAGAAACCCAAAAATATTAATACCAACAACAGCTGCTTTTTTTAGAATCCCTCTTCTTCTTACTACAAGGCGGCCGTATCAAAGTGTTTATGAAAAGGTTTTTCCTTCAGTACTTCAAGATTTCTATGGATTAAACACCAAAACCAGTGGTCTTTTAATATAAACCAAATTAACAATAGCCCAATTAGTTTCAGGGTCACTGAAGTCACACCAAAAGCAGAGAGAAGCAGAATGACAGGAACATGAGAGCAGAACACTTGAGAGATGTTTGGCATCAGGCAAAAACATTTCTTATACAAACCTGGCACTACAACTTGTCAACAGTGAATGAAATGACAAGGGCACTGCAAGAAAAAAACACCACAGGGTTGATGCTAAAAACACACTTAATATGAATGGTAATTGAACAATAAAAAGCCGAATGAGCTCTGTACACTTCAGATACTAAACGTGAAAGCCAGAACCACCAAGACAGACTCTAAGCTGCTGTAACTGACCCCAGAGACAGGGTCACCTCATTATTTAATTGTAAGATGTCATATGTCACAGCACTGCATAAACATTATTAGCAGTCCCAATAAGAAAGATGAAGACTTTCTTTTGATACAGCACAGAAATCTTACTTAATTCTAGAAACAGACTGGGGTGGAGGAACATAACAACAGACAGGACAAGAGGGGGACACGAACACATACATGGGAAGGAAATAGCCAAATATAACAATTAAAGATTACAATCTACATATTCCAGAATTTTAGCAGAATCTGAAGGCTATCAGAATGACTAAAGGAGTAGGATTATTACTCAAGCAGACAGAGCAATAGGCTGTTCGCTTCGTGCCACTGAGCGTATTCAAAACAAACCTTACAGGTGGAAAAAAATCAAGTCTTAATACAAATAAATTGTGAAGCAACAGTTAACTTAGCTACCCCAAACTAGACTACTAATGCTTCAAAGTGTGCTAATGCAGATGTTATTTTTATTTTTTATATATAAGCATTTATATTTGTGTATACATATAATAAAAATATGTTTTTTTTACAATACATATTTCAGGGCTCTGATAGAAACTTTATATTGATATGATATTTTGCTTTACTTTTTAAATACACATACATATATTGAAAGTATTTTTACCTTAAATCAGAGGAAAAAAGCAACATGAAACATCCTATCGGCCCATTTCACACTGTAATTACTTATATTACTTTTATAACTTCAGTGAGAACATACTCCAGCAAAGTACTCATTGTATTCAATGCTGCTGACGATCAAATAAGGGCACAAAGGGCAATAAAAGCACTTATTAGACACAGCCATCAATAAAAGAGTATACAAAGCATTTTACTTGACTGTGTGCTGTGGTTGTTTCTGGCTAAGAAAGCTTCTGTTCATAGCCGACTCTTTTAGCAAATTAAAAATGGCATTTCTTCAGTGTTATATCCTATTTTCACATTCCCACACCAAAGGGCCTTTGTAAGATCATCCAAAGGAGAAGTACTTATGAGAAAAATGTAAGACAACACACACTTTTTCTATAAGTACCTTTAAGTACCACAATTGTGCATGATAGACAAACAGATGTATAATTCCTACTGGGACAAATGCAAAATAAAATTGTGTACACTTGGCTCTAATTAAAACAGCACCCTCCAGTCAAGATGTTCTTCCATCCATACAGTGGAGTACTGCATCACGAAAGAAATGTGCTTTCCCAGTCATTCTAGGGGAAATGCTTACGGTTCCAGAAAAGTGTGAAACTTCCCAATCAATGAATTTCTGTGACAGATTGTTCACTGTGCGTTTGAAATGGTAAAGTGGTTTAAAAGGTTAAAGAAAAAAACGGAAGCCTTCAATTTTCAAGCCACTTCTATATGGAGCTAAAATATTTCCAAAATTTTGGAAATAGATTTTCTGGAGAGATGTTCTTATAAGAGGTGCCAGCAGTAATAACTTACATGCTGCTAAAGGGAATTCACACACAAAGAAATCCATGAAATAAAATGTATCTCACAAGGATACATATTGTGGAAAGGAGGATTATGAAATTTAGTGACACTGAAGATTTTCAAGAACATTTCTTTTCAATGGATGATTTACTTTTCTTATTAATAATTAACTGTTCTAACATCTAAGTATTTTGATAAAGTCTTACATTTATACTCACCTGATTCATTTTGAATTCCTGTTGTGTTCTGAAAAGATACACACAACAAAGAAACTCCTTTGATTACATGAGCCCTAAAAAGAAAAACAAACAATTGTGACATGTACTTACCTATAAATTTATACTGAACTGAAAGAACACATAGAATTGTAGTTTCTCTTCCCAAAGCATTTGTCACAAAACAGCATATTGCTTTATTTAAAAAAAAATCTGCTCCAAGCTATAGTTTGTTATTATAGCTCAAATGTATATAAATAATCTCAAGAAGGGTATCTATCATTAATCTTTCTCCTGGTTTTAACTGAGGATGCAACAGAAATGTGCTCAAGTAGGATTGTTTCATTTTTTAAAAAAAACAAGCTAGCTTCTTCAAGATTGAGTACTTCTAAGAACTTTAGGAGTCCGAGCTCTTTAAAATTTAAGATCAAAGCATTGTGAAAGACCTGAAGTGGTTTTCAAATTAACACAACACATGCATTTGAGTCTCCACTCCCTTGTATTAGAAAACAGGAAATTCTTCCTTAAAATTCAGCCTTTTATTAAGGTATTTTATTACACCACCACATTTGGCATTCTTGTTTAACAGAAGGCTGAGATTTCAAAAGGTTTCCTAGTTCAAGTAGGCACCAAATTTGGAAACTTGTGGCTTAAGACAAAACAAATCACAATGATGCCATATGTAAGAGTCTAGTACATCAACTCACTTTTTTTTTTTAAGCATACAAAAAAGCATTATTGCTAGAAACACTATCCTTCCTCATACAGAATTTTCAATAAATGAACAATACCGTTTTGGAGGTTAACTTTAATAACTTAAAGCGCTTCATTCAAGTACTACTATTTCTTCTCTCCCTTTAGTTTTCTTCTTATAACAACGATTAACTGATTTTTACTAAGTACTTAGTATAAAACCTAAAATTTAATTTAAAATACATTCAAGCAAAATATACTCCAAGTAAATTTGATATAATCCTCCATATCTTTGCACTAAGAATTCTTAATGCTGCCTAACAGTGAAAATATGCCAAGTGTCGTACAAACGTTGCATTGCTTAAGAAATTAATGAGGAAAAACTTCCTTGAAAAGGATATTTCTGTTGTATGCAGCTCTTCCAGGATTAACTCCTTCTGTCCTGATATTTCTGTACTATGTTAGCGTTTAGACAAACAGCTGAAACATCTGTATTTCAGTTCCAGTTTTGCAACTGGTTCTGTGGGATTTACCGTTTGCCAGCAAAGCCCAGTTATGGGATAAGGAGCTCCACCTCCTCAGCTTATAAACATCTAAAGGAAAGCATTCCTTTTGATACAGTGAAATAAGTTGCAATAGTAGGTATCTGCCAAATACAAATAAATTCCTAGGAATGATACATCCTAAGCATTTGATTTTCTAAAATTTTCTCTAGCACTGATAGAAAACATAGCCAACACCGAGAAACTACCAAAAAGTAGGGAATAATCTCCCCAGGTTTCATTACTAGTTACAATCCAGAGATTGCTAAATCTTGCCATGACAATAACATCCCTTTGGCTCTAAGTTTCTCACACATTAGCACGCAGTTGTTTCTCACACATCTTGCACATACCCTTTGCTTCCCTCAGCCTTGACATCTTAACTTACTTTCCCTCCTGACAAATCTGATTTCTACTTCAGACATATTTGCGCAAATGCTTTAGGCAAATGGTTTCTGAAATGTGATCCACAGCCTGCCTGGCATCTGCTGAAAGTCGCCTTAGCACATGGAAATGCTCATTAAAGAAAAAGCAAAACTTGGAGTCAGTCTAAACTTCTGTACTTGAGATGATGCCTGAATAACAGAGAAAAATCCAGCGCACTTATTCTTTGTTCACTGGGACAATGCCCACACAACGTCAATTTATAAATGAAATATTTTGGATAGCAAGAGAGGCACCAAAACTTTTCCTAGGGTGAAAAACTATTTTTAGTAACAAATGTCTTGCTTTTCTATACTTGGCTACAAAACAAAACAAAAAAACCCATTGCTCATGAAGAGAACAAAAGCAAGAACCTTTTATTGCCATGATTTTAGAGCAGACCCTGATGAGCTATTTTGGTTGTAGCAAATGAATTTAAGCAGTTATCGACTCCAGCCGCCTATTTCTACCTTTTCTCCTCCTCCTCACTGAAGATTAACGGTCCATCCATGACAAGGGCTGAACTGTTCATATAACCATTTTCTACCACAGTTCTGGAAAGCGATTTAGAAAACCCGATGTAGAAGGGCATGTGTTACACTGCGGTAAATACAGTCACATGAAGTACAGATGTGATTTTCAGCACTGAATAAACAAGGAAGGCATTTAACCTAGAACTCTAGATATGTAAAGACAATAAGGATTTAAAGCACTGTCTTACAGAAGCAAACATTCAACACCAGCACTACTCAGCCACTGAATGAAAGGAATCTGAGAGACAACAAGTAAATATCAATTAAGTGCTGGGTTGAAGGGGTCAATGCTAAAGGAAAGTTCTGTCAAGCTGAAAACTTCCTCTAAGCCGAGCTTCAACCGAGTTGTTAAATAAAACAGCAAAAAACTTGAAAAGCAGTCAGAAACTTTTTTGTTTCATTTGAGCAGTAAAAATCCGCTTTTCTTGTATTTCATATCTAACTCAAAATTATTTTGCTGAGAATTAGTAGTGTTTTCAAAGCATTTTCAAAACAAAAAATAAGCCTGGTATTTTTACAGATGTTATAAAAGCTTTATTCAGCTTTTATAGAACTGGTTATATCCAAACATCTCAACAGTATTTCTAAGGAGATGGCAAATCTTAACATACTGACATATTTAAACCTACACATCACAGTTTAGGTAGATTCCTACCACACTGTGCTACTCTGTACTTTTGCAGCTACAAGTTAGCAGAGGAACCAGTTGATCATAAAATACAATTAGATGAGAAATTAGGGTACACCACAAGCTTCAACAAGTATTTATAAAGCTATTAATTTAAAACACACACTTCATCATGAAATTTTATACCTGCAATTCTGACAAGTTAAATCTATGAGCTCTCTAACTGAAAAAGAAAGACGAAATTTTTCCTTCCTCCATTTTACCTATTTTGTTAACAATCAACTCGATGTGGAAAGTAAGATTAATCATACTGGCGAAAAAAAAATTAAGACTATATCCAGACTTACATGTAATCGCTAGCTTTCTTTCTACCTAAATGAAACATGACGTAAGAACAGAAGACAAAGTATTTTTAGCAGTAAATTTGGGAGTTAACCTCTAGTACACAAAGTTCAACAAAACCAAGAATATATGAAACATATTCTACAACTGCTGCACAAATACTAGTTCCCATATGATCAGTGACTATCACCAACATACCTACTCTTGCCACTGCAGAGACAAGCTTTCACTTCATACACTAAGGACTTTTTAGCTACACATAAAGTCAAGTCCAACAGGAAAGCCCCAAAGAAAATCTGGGTACCTAAACGGGGCCTACAGGAGAGCTGGAGAAAGACTCTTTATCAGGAGGTGCAGCAATAGGAGAAGGGGTAATGGTTTTAAATTGAAAGAAGGGAGATTAGATTAGCTACTAGAAAGAAATTCTTCACTGTAAGGGTGCTGAGACGCTGGCCCAGGTTGCCCAGAGAAGCTGTGGATTCCCCATCCCTGGAGGGGTTCAAGACCAGGTTGGATGGGGCTTTGAGCAACCTGGGCTGGTGGGAGGTGTCCCTGCCCAGGGCAGGGGGGTTGGAACTCAATGGTCTTGAAGGTGCTCTCCAACCCTAACCATTCTGTGATTCTATGACTCTAAAATGGTAAACGATACTGCTCTGATTTGCCATCAGGGGAATTGTGATATATTAAAGAAGTGATGATGACCACTATAATCAGTTTTAAAATTAGCAATAATCTACACTTGTGTTAGAACTTTGAAAAAGTCACGTCAGCAGCTCCATCAAATAGAGGTAACAACTATTTCTGCTCAACCTTCCCTCCAAACTCAACCGCAACATGTACCCCCATTTATCAAAGACCTGAATATTGTTAATAACTTTGAAGATTCACAGAAGTCCCTAAAAAAAGCTAAATAGAGGTTCTATGCCAAAAATGAAGCGTTATCACCAATACAGTAACGTGAATTTTTAATACTAATTTCCAGAAAATATTGCCAAGCCGTATTTATTTTCAAACCACTACCTACTATTGTATCTCATGAGTACAAAAATACTATGCAATTTCTCGAGACATTAAACCATCTGGGAAACAAACACAAGCGAAAGAAGATCTACTGCATCATATCATCTTAGAGTGTCAGAAAAGTGTATTTAGAAAGGCTCATTGTTAGACAACAAATTGTATTTATTGAAATAAGAATATACAAGACATTTGTACTTAAGGAAACACTGTGGTCATTCTAAAGCAAAATACTTGAAACAAAAAATATTTTAACCTTATTTCTGAATGCTACACTTAAGAATTTTAAATATTCCCTTACAATAAACATAACTTGCTGGGAATAGTCTGCAAACAAAAGCAAGTAATTTTCTATAAAACCAACATTACAGATTGTCTTTTCAAACTAAATCAGATGTTACTTCTAGTAAGCATTCCTAGTCTACCTTCTGATTGTATAAACCATATTTACCATTTCTGTTTGTGGGTTTGATTAATTATTTTTTTTAAATATCCCAGAATCAAAAAGCACTTTGAAAGAGAGGATGTTGCTTCCAATTCAGAGAAAGGAAAAAACAGGCATAAGAGTATTGATCCTGTTTTGGAAGCTGAAAATGGAACATGCATTACATCACTGCTCCGGTAAAAACATGTTCACTATAGAACCAGGAACAAAACCTGAAAGTCTCAACACTCTCCTTTCCTAGTGACCAGCGGTTCAGATTGGGATACTGCAGACATCTTTTTCTTTGTTTAGTTTTTAGTTGCAGCACATGATTTTTTCTGAGTTGTTTTTTAACGTCAGGTATTTAAATTTTTTTTCAATTTAATACTGAAATACTCTAATCTATAAATTCTCAATGTGTTAGATGAAACAAAGCTGGCCAAAAAAAAGAAGTTCATTTTAACTCTGAAAGATTAA